ATAATAATAATATAAATAAACAATAATTACTTGAGTTAATATTTGACTCTCTGTCTCCAACCATTTTTGAAGATTTTCATAATCATCTATTGAATATGCTTTTTTAAATACTAATTGTGCTAATTTTGCTACTAAAATCCAATATTTAATTAAAGATTTAGAAACCAAATTAGTACGATTAGCATTTATTTGTTGCTGAATATTTGTTAATTCAGAACTTTTAATATGACAAGTCTTTAAGAATCGGTTAAGAATAAATGATATAACTATTGCTAGACGAAGGTAGTCAGATATCATAAAACTTTCATAGTGACTAATTGGATTAGGCAAATGACCCCAGTGTGCTGGATATTCAAAATTTTTCCAAGCTTTAATAAATTCTTTTTGACCTTCTGGTAAAAATAAATTAACTATTAATTTTAAAAGCCTCATTATTTTTCTAGCAGTTGCATGATAGATGTCTTGAGGTGTTTAAAGATGCCGATCCCATATTAGTTAACTTAATATTGGAATACAATTGCGTAGCCCATATTTAGTTGCAACTAATTTACGCTCTTGCATAGATTTGGCTGATTCAATTTCATGAAATTGGCTATTGATGATATGCTGATATCTTGACAAGTTTTTAAAATCCAAATTATTATTTGTAAAATGTTCTTTAGAAACTTGACAAGTTCGACATTCCTTATTTGCAATATGCCTTTTAATACCAGCAAGATCATTCCCTTGAGGAAAATCTGCTGTAACTACCCCTAGACTTGCTATAACCCAGTACTCTTGGTCTTGGATATTCATTATTTGACCACTTTCTAGTGACTTTACTTCTACAATAAATAGTCTAATAAATTCATCAAACGATCCACCAAAGGGCACAAATTCTAACACAAAATAATTTCATAACTGCTGCTTTAAAGATATTGGCATGTTGCCAAATTGAATATAAACACTCCCAAGTGAATAATATATATTCTGATAAGTTCCAAAATCATCATAGTAAAGATCCAGAAATAGTTTAAGAACTGGTATATTTTCACTTGGTGGTAAAGAAATAGTTGCATATTCAGAAGGATGTTGATATTCCAATAAGATATTTTGAATCTTCCAATAGCCTTTAAACTTATAGATAATCTCATTTATATAATAAGAATAATGTTCTTTGTTATTAGATAAGATAGTACAGTAACACTTGCATGCCCAATAACTTCTTGCTTGTTGACCAAGTTAATAACTTGGTCAATTAGCCATACCTCTCCTGATTGAGAACTAACTTGCTGGTTGCTGCTTTGAATATTTTTTGAAAGTTTATTAAATTTAATAATTTTTTGAACCTTTAGTTTTAAAATTTCATTTGCTAAAACTATAGCTAATCTCATACCATTTTCTTGATAATAAATAAAATCACCGGTATTATAAATTTCTAAAAAAAGTAATAAATAAAAATTAATAAAAATCAAATAATAAATTTTACTAAATATTAATAATAAATTACCATTAATGATTCTTGACCATATAATGGAGATTCAGACTATAAATTACCATGCCAGTATTCCGATTTTGAGCATATGGAAGCTCTCATTAATACAAGTCTAAGCTTTTATGAAGGTGTAACATATCTGGTAGAGAATAGTTATAATATTATTGAAAAGTATTTACTATATGTTGGTGATATTATTACTATTCGAGAAGAAAAAGAAGAAAGCTATGCTATACTGAGAGCAATTTTTTGTCATAAAGGCAATAATGGATATTTTTATCCATTTATTGTAATTGATTGGCTTGAAAAAACCAACCAAGTTTATAGTTTATTAGAATGCCCAATTTATAAAGTTCAATCAGAAAAAAATCGAAATTGGCAATATGTCTACCCATTGTTGGTAGTTGATTAAATAAAAAAAGCTTATTTTGTTTATAGATGTTCAAGTGAATGTATGATTAGCCATGATTTAGAAAATATGTACTATTTAAAAAATGTTTATTATTTTACTGCTATTTAATTAATATTAATATTTGATATTGTATTATATTTGGCAATAACATATCTGATATGCGTATACGTAGTAACAATAATCATTATCTTTATTGTAAATTTGTGCGGGCAACTGTGTCACATGTTCTTCGGCCATGTGACCCAAAATTTAGATATAATGATAATTTTATATATCAGATATATTGATGTACATACATACGTTTTTTTTTTAAAGTATTACGTAATAAATATTGTATAGCTGTAATCAGATTTTTTTTTTTTGATATTCTTTTTTGTTATCGTTTTATTTTAATATTATTGTTATGCTTTTTTTTTGGCTTTTATATTCTTCTATAGTTTTAGATATTTCTCTTCTTTGCGATGAAGCTAAATCTAAATATAACAAAAAGCTACAACTAAAAGCCAAATACGAAAACATAAACTTGAATAAGGTAAAAAGATAGTTCTAAACATAATTCCTTATGGTTCTCTCTACGATTTTAGAATGTTCTTTCTAACTTTGCTTTCTTTTTTATTTTTATTTTTTTTTGACTTTTTCTCTATAGGTTTTTGAGATTCTATTCAATAGCTGCTCTACAAGTTTTCTGGTTCGTCAATGTTCTATGGTACTTTGATATTCTTTTTACGATTCTTTTTTTTTTTTTTTTTTTTTGAAGTTCTTTGACATTCACACTAATATTTTCTAATGTTCTTTTAGTTTGTCGAAACTTACAATTTTATGATTTTGTGATGGTTTTTAACGATTTTTCTACAGATCATATTTAGTACTTTCTTTATGGTTCCTTTTGATATTCACACTAATATTTTCTAACGTTTTTTTAGTTTGTTGAAACTTTCTTTACAATTTTATGATCTCATGATAGTTTTTTAATGATTTTTCTACGATCATTTAGTACTTTCTTTATGGTTCTTTGACATTTACACTAATATTTTCCAATGTACTTTTAGTTCGTTGAAACTTTCTTTATGATTTTTAACGATCTTGTGATGATTTTTTAACAAATTTTCTATGGATCATTTAGTACTTTCTTTATGGTTCTTTGACATTCACACTAATATTTTCTAACGTACTTTTAGTTCGTCGAAACTTTCTTTACGATTTTTTAATAATCTTGTAATGGTTTTTTAACGATTTTTCTACAGATCATTTAATATTTTCTTTGAAGTTTTTTTGACATTTACACTAATATTTCTAACGTTCTTTTTAGTTTGTCGAAACTTTCTTTACAATTTTACAATCTTGTAATGGTTTTTTAATGATTTTTTTACAGATTATTTAGTACTTCTTTATGGTTCTTTGACATTCACACAATATTTTCTAACGTACTTTAGTTCATCAAAACTTTCTTTACGATTTTTAACGATCTTGTGATGGTTTTTTAACGATTTTTCTATATATCATTTAGTACTTTCTTTATAGTTCTTTGACATTCACATTAATATTTTCTAATATTCTTTTAGTTTGTCGAAACTCTCTTTATGATTATTTAATGATCTTGTGATAGTTTTTTAATGATTTTCTACGGATCATTTAATATTTTCTTTGAAGTTTTTTTTGATATTCACACTAATATTTTCTAACGTACTTTAGTTCGTCAAAACTTTCTTTACGATTTTTAACGATCTTGTGATGGTTTTTTAACGATTTTTCTATATATTATTTAGTACTTTCTTTATGGTTCTTTGACATTCACACTAATATTTTCTAACGTTCTTTTAGTTCATCGAAACTCTCTTTATGATTATTTAACGATCTTGTAATGGTTTTTTAATGATTTTCTACAGATCATTTAATATTTTCTAATGTACTTTAGTTCATCAAAACTTTCTTTATGATTTTAACAATCTTGTAATGGTTTTTTAATGATTTTTCTACGGATCGTTTAATATTTCTTTGAAGTTTTTTTTAATATTCACACTAATATTTTCTAATGTTCTTTTAGTTTGTCGAAACTTCTTTATGATTTTTAATAATTTTCTACAAATCATTTAGTACTTTCTTTATAGTTCTTTTTGACATTTGCACTAATATTTTCTAATGTTCTTTTTAGTTTGTCGAAACTTTCTTTATGATTTTTAACGATCTTGTTATAGTTTTTTAACAATTTTTCTATGGATCATTTAATATTTCTTTTCTTTACGATTTTTAACAATTTTCTACAGATCATTTAGTACTTTTTATAGTTCTTTTTGACATTCACACTAATATTTTCTAACATTCTTTTTAGTTTGTCGAAACTTTCTTTACGATTTTTAATGATCTTGTGATGGTTTTTTAACGATTTTTCTACAGATCATTTAATATTTTCTTTGAATTTCTGACAATTTCTTCTTTATATAATTTTTAATATTTTTTCAATAGGTTTATTAATTTTACTGTAGTTACTTTATTATTTGTATTATTTTTGTTGTAATTATGAATATAAT